TCGCATATCGAGCAGATTGCATGTGATTCGAAAACAGGGATAAGGAAAGAACAGGAAGAGGAAGCGCAGGGCTAAGATCTACTGCCAGTCTAGCGAGATCTCCGTTTCTTGTCAGGAGTGAAATCCAACGGTTTGTACGCCAGACCCTTAGCTCCTGTCAGTCGAATTCGTTGCTCTGTTCGAGACAACGTACGGCCAAGTCCGAGATCCGTATCTGGGGCTAGCGAGACTTCATAGCCATTGATGTAGGATGATGATTGGGGGGACTGGCTCCTGGAGAATGCAACAGAAGATGATAAACTAGCCCCGGGACTGAAGGAAGAGCTTCGGGGTTCGTAGGATGTAGACCACCCATCGAGGAGCTTTGGTCCACTTCTTAATGATTCGGCGGCAATGCGGGCAGCAGATAAAAGCAGCTCATCTTCGTCAACTTGGATCGATTTTGGCGCCTCGGGCTTGGGTTCCACCGGCTTTCTGGCGGTCATTGATTCGATCTGTTCCAGAATCGGAAGCTTTGGTAAAGGTTTCGTAGATGCAAGTGCCATGGACTTCTTCTGCGGAGTTTGCACTTCGGCTTTTTGCAGTTTCTGCGCTTTAGGTCCGCTTTCCACGAGTTTTGGTTCTTCTGGCTCCTCGTGGACTCGCTTACGTCCATTAGACACAGTTTCTCGTCGTCTGTCGGCAGCTCCTTTCAGAGCGGATAACCATGCAGAACGCCGCGAACCATCGTCAGTTTCTGTAAAACATTGATTAGTGCCACGGTAGCAGTAAAAAGCTCAAAAGACCAGGGACTGACCGGCAGATGGTTCTTCAAGGGGTGTTTCAACAGATACAGGCTCGTGTCCCTTTTCCACCTCAACTGGTTGGGCTGAACGCTCTCCATCAATAAGGGCGTTCGTTGTCTCCGGTTCTTCGGCAGTCGATGAGTGCAGCGACTCACTGGGAATGTTATTGCTTGGGAGTGATGTGTGCTCTTCTGCGACCGACGGTGCAGGCGAGACCTCTTTCTTGAAAGGAGCAGCGGTCTTCTCATCAGAGGGGGTTGATAGTTTCTCTTCGACTGCCGGACTGCCTAGTTGGGTTTGGGACGCGGTGTCGGTTGGCACACGACGTGGCGGGGAGATAAAAATGCGGGATTGCTCTGAGAAGCAGTTTAGAAATAGATCAAGACAAAAATGAAGCGGGATAAGACATACCTTGCTTCTCCGAGGCAGATGTATTCGTAAATGGCGGTGATGCAGCTGCAAAAGGTTGTGAGATTGTTTGAGGTTGAGGGGGGATAGCGTCAGCAGAAGTTTTGCTTTCGTTGGAGAAACTGAAGATCGAGTTAGATGTCCCTGACGCGTACGGACCCTTTGATGTGCTAAAGGGCGTAGGTGTGGGCTGGCCAGCAGCCGCTACGTTGGCTTGGTCGGACTTTGGGGCGAAAGAAACTGTAGGGGTACTGAATGGTGATGTCGGGGCGGTAGTAGAGTTGACGGCATTCGCGAAGTTGAAAGGTGTGGTAGTAGGGAATGCGGAAGGCTTTTCTGTGTCTTGTGATGCAACTGGGCTCGGTGCAGGGGCAAAGAGGGTGTTCGGCTGGTGATTTGCGGGCGGAGGTGTGAAGGCTGTGATGCTTTCTTTCGGAGGGCTTTTCGATAGGGTGGATGACTGCATAACATTTGCGAAAGGATTTGAAGGTACACTTGTAGGTGCCCCAAAGGCATTGGCTGTGCTACTAGGCGGAAATGGCGACGAGAATGTCTGTTGCTGCGTACCAAAGGGCTGTGATGGTTGTGGAGTCGGATTAGGAGCAAACGCAAAAGCCGGTGGATTCGAAGTCTCAGGCTGCGAAAATCCCGCAAATGCGTTCTGAAGGCTAGATGCAGAGCTCGGCGAATCGCGTGGGCTCTCTTCTTGTGAAGGAGACCCAGCCGTTGTGAAGTTGAACGGTTGAGAGACATTATCATCGTCGCTCACGAAAAGCGAATCATCATTTGTAGTCATAGGCGGGGGCAACGCAGGAATGCGCTCGGACAAATGAGATATATCGACCATTCCGAGATTTGCAGCTTCTTTGATGTTGAGGCCAAGGATGATGGCAGCCAGTGTTCTGCCTGCACGCTTTGACTCAACATGCTGTTCCGAGAATGAATGATCTGACGACGGCTGAAAGGCTATGGCAGTGAACAGTTAGTCGAGTTTTAGTAGTAGTTTCCTATAGGACTGTCATGGGGAGATAGCAGCCATCCGTGGATGCTGATGCGAACGCCACTTGACGAAATCTCGGAAGCAGAAGCGCCGTCGAAAGCAAAACGTACCGACTGTATCAATTGGACGACTGCCCCAGTTAAGATAAAGATCACCATTGGCGTTCTCGGCAAATTCCAAGCCTTGGTCTTCACAGAATTTGATAGTCTGTTCGTGGTCATCAAAGCAAAGAACTGTCGTCAGCTCGTCAAGAGTCCATTCTTCGTTCTTGTGCTGTTGGGATGCAGGATAGCGACAGTATCCTTTCCAGATGGATCGAATAGCGGTCTGACGCATGTGGTTGAAGTAGATCTCTGCAACGCAGGCTGTGAGATAGGAAACACCCGGCGAATCAATGATGTTAAAGAACCGTGCGTAGAAGCCTTGCGCGATCGCGTTTGGCCGCTTCGCATCGAGAGTACCCTGATACTCCCATGTATTCCCGGCAGCAGCAAACAATTCCAGGGCGATTTGAACCCGGGGTGAGTTCCTCAGCTCCGCGGGCCACTTCTGGACACGAGCCTCCAAATCAGGCCGTTGGTCATGAATCGAGAAGATTATATAGTAGGCCCTGAACTCATCTTCGTTCGGAAAGTCGATCCGGCCTCTATTGTCATCATAGTAGTACATCAGTGACAACATCGTGTTGTTCAGCTGCTCGCGTTCCTGATGGCGATCAAAAGGCTCATCATTCGCAGGGCTCGACAGCAGATGTAGTGATATGATGTGGAACCGAGCAATTCTCTCCAGGCATGTTACCGCCATCTTCACATGGTCCTCCTGTGTGAGCTGCTGGACAGAGAAATCATTACGGATTGAGCGAGTTCGGTCCCATACGAACTTATGGATAAGTCCAAGAGGCTCGGGCCCATCAATGACGTGCCGTATGAGGTAGTTCATGGTCTGAAGGAGGGTCTTGGGTGTTCGAATGTCTGACGGAAGCTGTTCATCATAGCCGGCTGCGGATCTTCTGAACCGTTTTAGCATCTTCAGTTCCATATTCTGTAGCGAATTCGTTGCGGGATGCAGAAACTAGTCACTTGGGGTCAGTACGATGTTAGCGACAGACTGGATACAACGAGACGTACCTTCTCGCTTTTGTCGACCATCTTCTGAACTATACGTTCCACTCTTTCGAATTCAGGGCACATGCTCGTACACGTGCCTACGGGTGTAATGGCTTGATTCAAGGAAGTCGGTTGATTTGGATCTGCCATCTGCCCTTCCCTAATGGCCTTTTCCCGTTCCTTGGTTCTAGCGAGTTTAAGCTGTTCGACATATGAGTATTGTTTGGAAACCCTTGCGCAATTTTTTTATCCGACTATTGCAATCATAACTGACCTGTTCGTAACGCTCGGTATAGCTGCTCATATGCGACAGTTCTTCGACGGGAACGCTGGATCCGTTATTGGAAGGCGAGGGCTGGTGGGAGGGCCCTTGGCTGAAACCCGTACCGAAGCCGACGCCATTGCCATCGAAGTTGGGGGCAGCAAACGGCACCGGCGAGGCCTTTCCAAACCCTGTAGGAGACGCCTTCTGCTGCAATGTCTGGCCGCCAAAGGGCGACGAAGCAGGTGCCGTTTGCTTGAGTTGTGCGAAAGGCGAGGTAATCGGTCCTACAGAACCCGACGGTGAATCTGACTTGTTGCGCCAGGTATTGCTCGCTGAGGCAGCGCCCCTTCCTTGCCCCCGCCCAGACCTTGTTGCTGATGAAGCCCCTCGGCCCCGGCCTCGAAATTTGGTTTCGCGTGACGTATTAGCGGCTTTGGTTTGATAAGGTCGGCCAGATGGTCCACCACGTCCACGTCCTGCTGAACCGGCTGGCCCATCTTTCTGGCCGAGGCCAGCAAAGGGGTTTACAGGGCCGGCCATTTTGCCGTGTTACAGCGAAAACGTGGACGAAACCAAATGTCCTCCAAAAGTATGATCTTCAGAGCTCTTGAGTGGGGTCGTGAACAGAGATTCCGAGCGAGATGCGGACAACGAGGTCGTTCGCGAAACGGGCGTTGGTTGATAAATCGTAAAGCTATATAGCGCTATTGTGCAAGACCATTGACACGCGCGTAACGGAGAAGTCAGCTTTTGTAAAGACAGGACGACATTTGAAACCACATGGCGATGATATCATTTAAGTCAAGGAAGATCGCGAAGGCACGAAAACTGTATGAAAAGAAACCGAAGATGTTGAAAGAAGCGAGAGACGCGAGAGCAAGCAGCGAGTGATGCGGTACCTTTAGAGGTTCGTTGACAGGAACTTGGAGGGCAGCAGTCGATGGATGAGAGAAGATGGAGTACGAGCTCCTGGACTCCCCGACCTCCAAAGGCGTGGAGTATTCCGATACAAAGCGAAGCGCTATCTTATAGGAACCGAGCGACAGCTGAGCGCACGATTGCGAATGCAACAAGCTCAGATGCCGGATAATGCAGGACGGGACAAACCAGCGACGGACTACTGGCTGTTAGTAGTGATGGGAGGAGTGTCATGTCTTCAGTCCACCGCGCGAAGCTCCGATTCATCGGCGGGACAGCGTCAATGCACGCTAAGCCCGTTCAAGCGCAAGCGCCACTGCCGCGCGCCTGGTCGGAGCTCCCCTATTTGGTACATTGTTGTCTGGTACTCTTTTGTTATTGCAAACACTCTAATATGTCAAATGTTGGAATTTACCTGACTTCTACTAGATCGTCTTCATTGATTTTACGGCGATTCTTACCAAATTGCTCTAAGAACCAAATTGTTGGAAGGAATAGATTGATTCTTTAGTCCACAGATAGAAAATCGTCACAAACGCTAAAACGCTGCTGTCACATGCCTCACACACAAAACTTTCCATAAACTAAAAGACTCGCTGCTCCCATGTAGCACCCACCAACCTGGAATTTTTCTTTTCTCCATAAGCGCCCAAGCGCCCTTGCTTCCCAAAGTCTATTCATCTGCAAACATACAATAACCCCAAAAACACGAAGTGCCTTGAACCCGTGAGAGGTCACCCGCCGTCGGATCTCGTCCACTATCCTCTTGGACGCCTGGGGATCCGCGAGGCATACACTGTCGGATAGTGCTGACCACCGTGAAATATGTGTATAAGTATATATAAAACATCCCATAAAGCAGAAGACAAAAGAGAAAATCCAAAAGCAAAGAAGGAAAAAAAAAAATTATTGAAAAGAGGTGTCTACTCAGGCAATGAAAGAGCAGCCACCTCATATCGCACCTGGGAACAAGCACGAGAAGAAGGGAAATGCTTAAGGTTCGAAGGATAAAAGCTCATCATGGTCGTACGTGTCGTGAAGTTGAGTTTTCCCGCAGACTGTCTGGCTCTCAGACACAATGCGCGACTGCTGAATTCGCCGTTGATCAGCATTGGTGAGAATGAGTGAAGTGTGGATGACTCAAAGAACCCGTACGGAATAGGGGTCCCCTCGAGCTCATCGGCTCCATATACCCATGCTGATCGCGAGTAAAATCGGGCATTCCATGTATCTCCTCAGGGTGGGAAGCAAATCCCAACGGATAGTGCATACGAGGCTCTGGAAGACCATGGCCGGCCGCAGATCCATATTCCAAAGGGCTATACAACTCTTCCCTGAAGGACGGAGCCCAGTGGTCATATTGGCTGACGGAGTGCTGCATTGGCACTGCTGCTGCTGCGTGGTGTTCAGCAGTGCTGGCGTCCGGGAAAGGAGCCTGTGTCAGGTATTCGAACGAGGCAGCCTCTTCGATAGGTGTGATCAATCCTTGAGTGGCGGGACCCTCAATAATTGCGCTGGAATAGTTGCCGGAGTAGTCGCCCGATGAAGTGAAAAATGTTTGATCCTGTCTCGCTGGCTCTCCAAAATTGTAAGACCCCGGCAAAGGGAAAATCGGATCTTTTCCCTCTCTCAGAGGCATAGTTTGAGGCACTGGCATGTCGCTGGGTTCCTTGACAAATGTCGCTTCTATTTCCTCAACTGAAGGAGTCGGGGTCGCGACCTCTTCCTCCGCCTCTGCTGGCTCCTCTGGCTCAGTCTTTGCCTCGGGTCCAGCGACTGAGTCGGCGTCCTTGTCACCCTTAGGGTGTGCTTCACGATCCATCACGTATACGAGGGTTGAAGCATCTAGCACCAGTTTAGCCTAGATCTTCTTTGAATAATGATTATGAGGGTTGTGAGGGATACTTACCGATTTCACCTCGCTCGTATCTTTCCTCCATTTTTCGTACCTTGAAAATCTCCTCAATAATCGTGAATTTCTCCTGTTCCTTGAGCTGTCTTCTGCAGTCGAATGCGATTTCTAGCAGTTTATCGGCTGTGACTCCAATGCGACCAAGCTTGCGCACGATATGGACCAACAGGTCAACTCTCTCTGTTGTGCCTTGTAAGTATCGATGATCCGTAAGAGAGTACTAGACTAGCCACTTACCCTCCTTTTTCAGATGATCTGGCTCCCTATGCACTACACCAGCCGGCCACCACTCAGGCTTCGTCTTCTCTGGGTCGCCTTTGGTGCCAGGGGGCGCTCCGGGCTTAGGCCTGCCTCCGTTATAGGGATGCCTTACTTGCTTGCGCGGCTCGATGAACTTGATGAATGCCTTTGCAACAACGCGGCAGTTGACCTGCTGGAAGTGTCTCAGAGAAATCGTGTAGTACTGTTCCAATCGATCGGTATCACCGACTTCAAGTGCAATCCGGTTTACTGCAGCGCCGGACGACGAACTTGGGAATTCGGAACGAGAGTTTTGCGTAACTGGAACGGGACTTTCGACGTGGAGTCTACGTCTCTTACCATGGCGGTGGCAGGACGCATCGTCGGAGCGGTCATAGCTCAGTGCAGCGGGGTTGATGCCTAAGTTGACTTAAAGTTAGCTATGTTATATACCAGCCCTACGGAATGAATGTACTTACTCTGAAGTAGAGGCTTCTGATATCCGACTCTTGCTCCAAGGATTTCCAGGAAGTTTTCTCGCACTTCGGATGTGAAGATAGTGGCGTGATTGTCACGGATCGATGGCGACTCCGACACGCGGAGCCTACCCATGTGGTCCAAGTATATCAAAGCATAGTGTGCGTAGGGCAGATTGATCGATGTACGCGGTGGGGGTAGCATAGTCTTTGATCGGCTAGAATTAGTAAACGAATACCACATTGTATTTTGTTACTCACAGGAGCAGTCTCCCAACCAATACCGTCGCCTTTCATGGCGGACGAGGGTCTTTTCCCAAGCCCTGTCCTCGGAAGAGGAGAGTTGAATACCATAGTGGCCCTAGGGCAGAAACCTGCACAAATGTCGGGGTTATGTATCGAGGTTGATGCGTTTGGAGACGAACCGGCTCTTAAGCACGAGTTCAAAATGGGTAGGAAGAGTCAAGCTTATGACTCTGCAGGATGAAACAATAAGTCTCCGGAAGGTGGCGGGGAATGTGCTCGATTTGTAGGCGTTTCCCGAGTCTGGTAATTTAGTGTATGGGTCAAGGAGCTGCTGCAATGCCCCAGATATAGCAAGTATGGTGCACTGTCAACGTCTGCCAGCTAGTTAGAGTTTGTATTTCTTTAAGAACCAGCCGTTGAGGTGGTCTATTGGAAGGAAACAAGCATGCATTTCCCAACCACTGTTAGAGGCAGTTGTGTGCTAGACAGGAAGTACTATCACGCAAACATCCTCCATGCTAGGGACATGTTGGGAAAGGGTTGCATAGCAAGCAGCTACTACTCACCTAGCCGCAAGATCAAACACCACCGGATGGCTGGCAAACAGTAACTGAACGTTCTATTGGTATAGTAGCGTGCAGGGAATCTGCTAACAACCGGTACTGGTGCACTAGATAGTCGATCGAGACCCGGTACTCCCGTGAGGAACGATGATCACCCAAAGTACTTCTGCCGTTGCGCCGAGATAGTGTGAAGAAGGACGGTGACACAAAGATGTGGATGTGGATGTATGTTAGGTAGTACAAGGTGCCGAAGAGGATATAGTTAAGGCCGACTACTGATAGTAACGGAAACGGTTGAGATGTGAAGCAAGCGAGGCCAGAACTATGCAGATTCGATCACGAATGAGAGAGAGGAGAGTGATGGAGGAAAAGTGAAGTCAGGAACAGGCAAAGGATCTGGATCTTGAGGCCCTTAAGTATAGAGAGGAGAGGAAGAACGGAAAAGGACTGGACTTTTTGACGACTGGGGACGTCTCAGGTTTTCCAGCCTGTCTGCTGTCTGCTAGATAGTAGTAACTGATGGATCGAGATTGCATCTGAACAAAAGAACCCAAATCCACTTTCGCAGTGCATCGGGGGGGCCCCTCCCCTCCCTTCGGGCCATCATCCTCTCGATCCCGATTTGGCATCGCACTGGGGACGTGTGGTGGAATCCCAGCAGCATGGATAATCCTTGAATGTATCAAGCCGAAACACTAACGGACAGCTGCTACTCTAGAAAAGCATGGATAGAATCTATTTTACCCATATGCCGCTGTGTCTTTTTGGTAAAGCCGTGCAGTAGTAGGGGGAAAATACTGCCCTTTTTTTTTCCTGTTGTGGTTGATTTTATTTTATTTTATTTTATTTTATTATTATTTATTTTTTCTTTCGGTTATAATAGAATATTTTATTATTATCGTCACTTATTTTAATTTATTCCTGGATTTTATTTTTATTTTTATTTTCACCCCTCCGCATATTGTATTTTCCCGTTTGAAAAATGTTTTATTTCTTGATTTCTTTTTTCCCATCGGCTGGGACATACCTCTTTACCCTCATTTTCCCATCATTATCATCCCGGCACAAAATAAAATTGATTAAATAACTAAGAAGGCATTTCCCACCCGTCCCACCACACGGAAATGTCCATCATCATATTGACAAAGCATTTCGATTCTTCTGAAGACAAACATCATTTAAAGCACGTACTTTAACTAACTACCCCGACCACTTACCTGACTAATACTATCTGTAGATCGACCACTCCGTCGGGGCTGTGGCAGCTGGCCCAGGGCTTTGTTCGGAGCGGGCCACTCACAAGGACACCCGGTGGCGCATCGATAATTTGATTGAACTCCACAACCGAGAGAACTACGAAACTGAGGAAGCTTGAGGTTCGTGCGAACTGACTCCAAGGTTACTAAAAGATATCTTCAGTTGCGCAAGTAATACTACTTACCACTACTACTCAATCCCCACCAGTCGTCCTCTTGAGCGGGTTGATGATCATCGAGGTTCGCTAGTGCTGGGGCAGCTGGCGGGAGGAGGAGGGGGACCGAGAATTACTTACCCAATACTATGGAGTACTACTTACTAGATGGTACTATTAGGTTACGGAAGGCGTATTCATACCATGGGCTTGGGCTGAAAGTACTACGGAGTACACTGTCCGAATAAGGGAAGAAGAACGGGGAGGGACAAGGGGAAAGCCTGCCAACCGTCACTCCGATCTTTCATGACTATCTCTGTAAAACAACTTGTGCTAGCAGGATTAATGATAACTTAGCCCGTTCACTAGCGTTGAAGTTGGCTCAGGAGAACTCCAACCGCCACCCAAAAGACCTGATTGACTTAGTATCAATCGGATACTCTGACAGTGTACACTGTAACAGTAAATAGCTGCCGTAAGTAAAGTACTTACTTTCAGGGATGGCGTTCCCGGCAGGCCGATTCAGCGCGGGACTTTTGGCACCTCGCAACTGGCTGTCATGATTGGCAGATCTCACACCCACCAAACTGGAACCGGTTTTCTTTCGCCAGCGACACGCGCTTCCCGTCATTTCAGTCCATGTACAGAGTACGAAAATTGGAAGTTTCTGTAAACAACCCAGTATTTACCATTTAAACCTCGGGAAACGTCTGCTCTTGCCTCTTATCCATCCCTGGTTGCAGAGTTGTATGAAGAATATTCAACTGCTGTGGTAACAGTGGCAAGGACTCATTGGTACAATGAAGTGTCCATCGCCAACACAGTTATTTTGAAACCACAGTTGGCGCAATGTGTATGGACTCCATACCCCTGTACATAGGTAGTAACATGCGATACAGGCCATATTCGGCTCTACTGTAAATCACGGAAAACCCCCCTAATTAACCATTCTCCTCGAACGGCCTGCATATTCTGTATGACAAGAACGTATTTGAGATAGGACTCAGCGGATACTGGGGGTGGGAAAAGAAAAAAAAACACAAGAAATCCCGATTACGCACAGGCCGCGCATATCGTCAGGGCCGTTCCACCCAGCTCGCGCTTGGGCCAGACAGCAGGAGATCATCTGGAGCACGGGAGTATACGGCGTAAATTAGATACGGAGTCCATACTTATTCATTGAATCTCTAGATGAACACCATGTGTGACTTGAAATCTTGGTAAGACTGTTGAAGTCGAAGCGAGTGTCCGACAAGATTGTACGAATCCATAAATTAGTAACTATTCCTGTCAGCCATGGACTTCATGTCCGCGCGACACCGTCGACCTCCTCTTCTCAGGGTCATCAGCAGGACTTCCAGGAGAATTTCGCTACCGATGTACTCCGCACATGTGTAACAACCTTCACAAGTGCGCTCATTTATGCGCATCTGAAACATTTGATCATGGCTGCAACTGAGAGTACTTCTTTGAAGTGGTGATCGATATCGGACTCGCCGAGTTGCCGCCACCACCAGCTGACTGCCCTTTGTGCAGAAAGATATGCAGCGGATGCATATAGGTCCTCATACTAAGCTGGTTGATCCAAAGATACAAAGTCCGGAGGACGACGTCACATGAGTTGTATTTCCATGCCAGGTTCATCATTGTGACGGACTGAAGCTCTCGCTTGTCCTTGTTTGATTTAATTTGAAATGAAAGCCACGCCCATTATGGATTATTCTGGTCCACCATGTGTACATGGAGAAGTATGGTAATGTGAAAAACACAGTCTGGCGGACCAATATGACACGATACACAGAGCAATGAGGCAAAAAAATACACCAGTTACATGTACTGACAAATTACGATAGACGAAAATTGCGAAGAATCAAATAGCGGATCTAGAGAGATGTGCCCCGAACTAGTGCCGGTGGCAGGTGAACCAATAGCAGGCTACGGATACTATCCGTACCAGGACGATCTACCGTCTGGAGGAGCTTTGGCTTGCGCATGGCCCAAGGGACTGGAGACGGAAGAATGAGCTAACTTGAGACAGTACGAAGTAGTAGTGCTTTGAGGGGGTGAAAGGGTGGATGGCTGTTAGTAGAGGAGCTTTCCCGAGCCGTCAGGATGTAAGGCAAAAGGTTCGGGAAACCTAAGTACTTAGTTCCTACTGATGTGGGCTGTCGGGGTATACTACTACAGCAGAAGTAGAGGAATGCAATATAACTATAACGCCTAGTGTGCAAGTACCTGTCGTAAATAATCTCCGATTGCTGGGGGAGATGGGGACCACAATGACAAAAGTATTTGGAATTCAAGGGTAGCTTAATGCTTTAGCACCACACAAGCACCACAGAACTCAGAAGATAGCCATTGGCATGCTTAGCATGGTATACTATGATTCCACATCAATCTATAGAGACCCTCTATCATACAATTAAATCTTTCCTTTCCTCCACTGGCTTTCGATCATTCTTGCCGCGAGCTATGTTAGTAACACGCCACCACTTTACCGGACAAAGAAAGCAGCCATAGCAGAAACAACAAACCAGATGGGCTGTGCAAGTACCTCCCGGAGCGAGGACTTTCTTCCTCCCTAAAGTAAGTACGGTGTACATTAAGCGAATGTTCGGGCTGCTGATCTAACTTTCTATCTGCGACGCTCCCGCGCCCAGGTACCTGAACCGTGGAATTGGCGACGATGATAAGAGGACCCGATATAGTGGCTTCACGTCAGATCAGAGACCCAAACCCCCTATTAGGGCCAATCCAAGACCACGTCCACCCGAGACTTTAATCTAACTAAGTAATGGTGGGCGGTACTTTGCTACGGGGTTAAGATTGTCGTTCGTCTGTGCACTTTCCCTTCTGGGAAATCAGCAGTGTCAATGCTGACAAGAACAATGTCTAGTCGTGCGGAGTACCTCTAGATCACGGTCAGTCAGTCAGTCAAGCAACATCAAACAAACGCCTCGTGTAGCGTCCAGTCAGTCTACGAAAGTACCTTTCCTTTGATTACGATGATTGTCTTCTCTTCAGCATCTAAGTTAACACTAATTCAGAACCATGACGGCCACTTACGTACAGAATTCGCTATGCGCACAAAAGAACCATTCCAGGGACAAACAACTGCAGAAAATTTTTTCTTTTTCCCTCATTGTTTGTTCCTTGACCAATGGGGAACAGCTGAGGATAGCAAGGAGAGCCGATATCCGAATTGAATACTCCGTCTCGACGATCGTCGTGGACGGGCCCGAATATTCAGTCAACAAGATAAGATAGTGTGACAGGAGACAAGTTCACAATCTGGCGAAACATGATGGCGGTGTCACCAGTCCGCACAGAGAGTTCCTCACAACGACAATAATTGAGGCCGAAGTATACCCGTTGCGTTTTGGGCGAGATTCCCTTATTCCCCGAGCAATTGCCCGAAGTACTGGCTTCTAGTAGTCTGTTTGACTGCCTAACTACTAACACATTCTCTGACCAGAACCAACGAGCTGAGCACTAGCCAAAACATCACGAAAATAGTCACGCCAATCTTAGGGCGGAGGAGCTTGTCATCCCTGTCTGCCTGGTTCTCGGAAAGTGACCGCCAAGCGGGCAGGTGACCCCTTTCATTCCTCCTGGCCGGCTAACCCGAGTCTAGACCTTTTCATAATACCGACACCAATCTCAGTTACCGTCTCGCAAATATCCTGACTGTTTTGATGAGGTGCGCTGTGATGCAATGCCATCATATCAAGTCGCATTAGATGCTATCGCCGTTCGCAACGTGGCAGCGGCAATTGCACACGAGCCACGGCGCCTTGCATTGAACGGTGTGCTACACGGGCCATGATTACAGGCAGAACCGGTGGGAGAGACTCACCGCCACGATATCGCCTCGGTCGTGGACGGCATAGATGCATATGGGCACACCAATGCTTTCTCAGTTGCAGGGCCTGGATCCGATGATTTGCCTTGACGGCTATGTGGTAGCAACCGGTCTTCTTCCCGCCTGGGTCAAACACCCCTCCCAGCTGGATATGCCTTGGGCTCTCGCCATCGTTCCCAGTATGGTAGTATCGGTGACACAATTCCCGCACTGTCAGGAATATAAGCCGCAATTACCGCTACGCAGGCCGGTCTCCTTCACTAATCACTCGCGCTCTGCACCGAACAGAAAATGGAAGTGCCTAAGGTAGGTACTAAATAGTTACCATCCAGACGGGGTCGATCCTCCAGTCCCGATCTTTGGGACTCGTAGGGTGTTTTGCACGCCTAGCGATGGAGGGTAGCAATGTGACGACAACAGTGGGGGGGGGAAGAGGAGAGGGCACCAGGGAGGGGAGGAGGAGGGGGGTGGGGGGGGGAAATGGTCATGCTGGGGCAGGGGAGATTAAACATGAGATTAGCCCCGCTGATTGGCCAGTGGAGGACCTGTCAGACCTCGGAAATCCCTTACTCTGTTATGTTGGTTGTCCACTCAGCATTTCAGCTACTGGGGCTTCGGAAGTGGCTGGAGCACACCATGCCCCAACAGGGGATAGACGGGGGGGGCTAAGTATATTAACCCAGGAACCTCCTAGGTAAAGAGAGGCTAGACTGCATGTATCTGGCTGAATATTGAAGTTACACCATTATTGAGAATTTCGCGGGACAACTTCCTCGGAGAATTTTAAGACTGGTGCCCGGTAAGGCAATCTCTGCGATGATAACTGGAGACACAGCCGGTCAGCCTGACGGTCTGCGAGGCGGTTGTTAGGAGCGGGGAGGGTCGGTTCCTGGAGCTAACTAGTAGTAGTCCGTCCACTTACTTTGTACAGAGTAGGATCCTTAGTACTTAGTAAGTCAGACGCCGACCTCCAAAGATTCAAAAAAATTCACCCGCGATAAGCAGACCATCCCGCAACTACTTTTGGTACATTGGGCTGATGCCCGCTCACGCGGTATACCCGTATTTGGCATGATCAGTGAGACCTACGGCGCCTAATCCCGACAGGATAATTTGGGGCCTTTTGGAGGGAAGGGGGAGGGACTGTGCGGTGGGTCCAGAAATACCTGAAGAAGATATTCGTCGTGATCAAATGGAAATGCCACTTACATATGATACCTAAAGAACAGACCAGTTTACACATGTATATCCAGTAGTAAGTATGTATACTGAAAGTGGCACCTATTAAGTAGTCTCATGACAACGTTTTGCTGCAATGCAAGAATGAATAAGGAAACCTTGCAGCCGATGCTTGTCCCGCGGCGTGGATTCCAAGGCTGATGATGGAACAGAAACAACTGAATTGCTACGTCATGGTCCCTCCCTACAAAGCAAGTGGGCGACGGCCTTCAGAGAACGTCCAGCAAATAATAATATCTAGCGAGGGGCAGCGCCATGATAGACAAACAAAATAGTACATTCGTACAAAGGAAAATCCGTCAAAAAGGTGCCCAGCCCACTTGGTGTCTTGAACTAGAACCCATCATTGAGGGTTTGGGACCGAACTAATACCGCTAAAGGGTTAGGGCCGTATAGAAGGGGGCCCCCACCCGAAATCCAACCCCGTACTTTGTTACCCTCTGGTTCCTTTCGGAAACGAGATGATTGTCTGTTTGTCTGTCTGTCAGCCTGTGCTCAACTCACCAAATACCTATCTACTAGCTTGCTACTCTCTCGGTTAGTGGCTCCCCTGGGTAATGAATGCGCTTTGATCAAACCCCCTCCCGGTCGTGTACGTATCGCTCGGTAGATGAGAAGTGTGCTTCGGTTCGCTCAACTCTCATGGTATTGTAATATCCCCGAACAAAATACTGCCAATATTCACCACAAAAAAGAATTAAAACACCTGGTTGTCTATCATCATCAGCCATTCACCAAGCGCAACTCCAAACAGGGCGGGGGCGCGGCCCGGGGAGGGCGGGTTGAAGGACCCAACGCTCGTCATGAAAAAAAGCAACTATAAGGATCGGCCGTCAAAAAGCCCTCGTAGGCTGACAGCAAGCAAATCCCTGCCATTGCTTCCTTCTATACGAAGTACGTATGTATTGTTGTTGTTGTCACTCCTCCGTAAAAGTACAACAACCAACTTGCTGTCAGCACAATCTATCAATCAGCCCAAGGCCGGTCCAGACTCCACTCGAACCGATCGATCCCCCTCCCCGCGCCTCGCTGACAGCCATTTGTTTTCCCTTGCTCGAGAGATCGTGCGTGATTATTGGAGGTTCGTCCTGCAATCGTTCTTGATCTTCCAAGAACCGATCCTGTTTCCGGGGGACCGAGACGTGACCAGAGCGTCTGTCTTCTTACAGGCTGTTTATATATAGACATGGTCGTTAGTATTTCGGGTATTACTACTACAGTAGTTAGTAGTGTCGAAACCACCGCTGCCAGACCTAACAAATGCTTGACAAGTTGCAGAACCGTTTGAAGAAACTAAGGGTCCTTGAAAGCTGCCACATCGATGGTATTACGATTTACGCTGTAGTACTTAGTAGTAGTAGAGTACTAACTCCCTCTCATCGGTCTTTCGGGAAAACAGTCAAGGACTTTCTTTCGAGCAGCTTCAGCTCCCTTCCCTTCCCGCCACTCCCCCCCCCCTCCATTTCGCTAACGCTAAAGGCTTCCGGGAACCTTAACCCCCATCCCAGGACCGGTGTGTACCATGGGCCAGGTTGATGGGATAGAATCCTTGCTACGCCCACGGCCTGAGCGTTGAACAACTTATCCTATGGTACTAAAGCACCTCAGGCACTGTGAGATTAAAGTACAGATGACACACAATGATTCGCGACGTAACCCTAGTCCAAGATCGATCGATGTTTCAGGGGGGGGGGGAATGGGAGTGTAACTTCCAGGCATAGTAAGTAAGTAGTGATACACACTACGACTTAGATCATCACCATCTATCAATACTACTTACTGTGAGTATAGTGTGGTCCACGCACAAAAGCACCTAGATTTCACATCGCATGGCCCCAAACCAACCGAATACTATTTATGAGTGCATACGCCACCACCCTTCATTCTTCTTCCTGGATTAGATAGCTACTAATAGTGCTTTGACTTTTATGCCAGTGTTTCAACAAGCTCACAATCGATCGTCTTATTTGAAAGTAAAAAAGTCCTGTTTGCACGATTCCTGGCACGCCGCGTACCATTTTCTTTGCACGGGCATTACAGGTCATAGGGAGGCGGGAAGGGGAGGGGCAAATCGCAATCATTACCCTCTGCGGGTGATCGAAAATGAGATCGAAGTATCGTGAGTCGCCATATTGCCCCCATTCTCCAGGTTACTCGCAGTTGATGTCTCATAGATCATCTTTGTTGAGGCATATCTCCCGACCGGGCCGAGCCTCTGCAGAGCAACTGCAGGTAAAGTGGTAGGTAATTAGGTATGAAAGTGGTGATTATGGAGATGATGACAATTCCATCACGGGAAGGCCCGGCCGGACCCTCATCGGTAGATTGATCCGTTGTAATGCCGAATGTTGTACAACATCACTACTGTAGGTCTATGGAAGGGAAGGAAAAAGAAAGAAAAACACCGTTACACAAGGGAAAAATAAAATAAAAATAAAAGTGGGATGACAGAAAACGTTATGGAATATTTTCCGAACCCGGGAATCCCTATGAGAGTTGCTTGAGAAAGGGCGGCTGTCATTTGCCCCTACAAGAGTAGACAACCTTGTCACTACTAAAGTAAGCTGTGGGGTAAATTTTCTCAGCAAGCCATACTGAGTGAGCTTGACAGTGACGATAGTACCTGTTGCATGCAGCACCGGGTAACACCCCAAGTGTTCCTACATGAATTATGATTTCATTTTATTTTAACCTAGTTTATTTTTGTGTTTCTTCTCCTGCGCCGGAAAGATCCTCGCGCGAGGGCCATGGCAACGAGTGCAACAAGATGAGCGTGGTCATCTGAGGACCGATAAACCCCGTGCACAGGTTCGATTTTGATTTTCGGATGTCTCCCACGGATCAAGGTCTGGAAGGTGTCTGACCTGCCTACCTGGGTCTAGTCGCAGTGTGTACAACTCATCGTTCAAGGTTGCGGGTATCTGCCGGAAGACCCTTCTGAACCATGGAACCGCCGACATAGTCGCTTGAACTATATCATAGCTCCTACACGCCAGGCATAGTAATTGTGCTATTTCAACTAGTCCAATCGCGGTGGCATAAGACCTATGTCATCCGAGGGCTGGCATTTCCTATCTGGGGAGGCCTGTCATGCCCGGAAAAGAACAGGTGCAGGGCTGTGGATGTTGAGGAAACTACCATGATCCCAGTCCTTTCCCCACCAAAAAACGACTTCTAGTAGTAGTACTAGAACTGTCATTATCGACGAGTCGTTTTGCCGGGTTTATCTTGTCAATCCGTGGTTCCGTCGGCACTACGATGAAGTACTAACCAGCCACGCCCACATTTTCTCAAATCGGCCCCGATCGAAAACTCGCCGATTGGATTGTTTCGCGTCTAGCTGGGTAGATACTCCTCTGGCCATCGCATTCTGCAACTCTCTCCATGAGGCGTACGCCATGTGTTTGGCGCCACGCCTTGGAAGCCTAAGTAATTGACTTTGGAGACTTCGTGTTTCAAAACAGAGATGAAGAGACCCTACTGGGCTGTAATTGGTAGGATCATTCGTCCAACCAGTCCGGGCCGGATGGATCCTCCAATGACTCGCGTGGGCGGAAGACCATCTGCAGCTGTTCGTTAGTCCCGAACCTATCTTTCTCAGGGGATCCCTGTCCCAGGCTGATGAGTGGCCGAGATGTCAACATGGTTTTCCGGGATGTGGACCCATTGCTGCAGCCATCATACAGCAGTTGACTTACTTACAGGCTGGGCACGGCCTACCCACTCTCTCGTCGCACAGTGGAGTCCTCCTGCTCACCTGGACTGGTCAGAATCATCCTGATGGATTCGTTCCCAAGACCTTCTCGACGAATGAGAGCCCAATCATGCCAATCGGGTGGGAATCGTGTAGGGATGACCCAGGTAACTGGATGCACGGTGGAAGTTGCTGATCATGAATATCACACTTTGCCTATTTAGTTCGCACTGTACGGTGCCCGAAATGGACACTGGCCATCTATGGAGTAAGTACAGAGTGATTGCCGCCGGATTATGACCGACCGATCAGAGGGGATTTGCATGCTTTACCTGTCTCTCATCATGATCAATCATCACCACCACCATCACCAACATCTACAGTAAGTGTGCAGTTATGTAGGTAGTACTCAACGTCAAACCCCCACACGCATGCCTCGATCATGTCCTGACAATCAGAAACAGCAGGGATGTTCGATCTGAGGCATCCGCGCGGCGTCTGGAACAAACTACTGCCTCATCATCTGATTTATCTCGCAACGAGCACCATTCCCAACCCCCCCCCCCCGATCTATTGTCGGCCTCGTCAATCTCCTCCACCCTTACTAATACCCACACGCGTAAGCAATCTAACACTCACACTCACACTTGTGTACGGAGTACACCCTTAGGTATATCCGGTTTTCTCAAATCAGATCAACCGCGTAAAATTCGCTGGAAAAAATACCCCCAGCGACGAGATTCGCGCAACCCCCTCCGATCGCGATGCCCACACATTACTGGCGCAGCACTAACGACGGGTCCGATTGACTGATGCGCCAATCTACGCAGGGATTTCAAAAGATAATTAGTTCATCGGTCGTCCCGTCCGCTTGCTGCCTCGCTCGCTTTTGTTCGGAGCTATGCACTAGATAGTCTACGTAACTAAGGACAACGACCACTCATTGTGCACGTCAACAATTAAATCCCGAGTTTAGTCAAGGAAGAGGAGGAGCTGAAACTTGACCGACTATTTGTCGAGGGGCGCGGTTGCTTTCGGATAATGAATCCGCAGGGGCCAATCCCCCGCCATGAGCCATTCTGTCATTTCATCGTCGCGGTTGGAAAGTACCTACGGAGTACTAGACCTTTTGTGCCAGGTGCTCAAATTCGCGATAATGGACAATCTCGCTTGATGAAATCAGGAATAACTCTTGAATATTGGTCAATCGCTAAATGCTTACTAGTACTTTCTAACCTAGCTATCTAGGGTGTACCGTGTTTTGAAGAATCTTCACTATCCTATCAACTTGACGCAATATGTTTGTCCTGAAGTAGTACTCAAACACCGATCACTCAAACACCGCAAAATCCACAGAAAGATACTACTGTGTACAACCGGCAGGTACCACTTCGGCCGACAGTTCCATCTCCCAATTGATCCGTTTCAGATAACCCCCTCTTGGCCATCCGTACCTTTTCTCCATTTCGAGCGACAATCACACCCACCAGCAGGGGTGCGATAGGTTGTGGGTGTGGACACTGACAAACGAACGGAGCGGATCATGTTCCTTGAGGCGAGACAAGAACAACTTACACTAAGGAGACAGAAGACAGGGTTCTCTGGGATCCACAGGGTTCATTTCCTGGGACCCAAAGTCCTATGCAGCAAACTAACACCGGGATTCCTGGTTCGTACCTTAGATAAGTGGCCGGGAAGGAAGAATTGACCGACAGATAGAAGGATGGGATGAATTGTTTTGTGCGTGCTGCAGCAAAATGATGATTGTGGCTGGCGGGTGCGGGTTCTGGGTATGGGGTGTATCCCGGAATACTACTATGATGACTACACTTCGTCGGTGGATGCTTATAATAGCGAGTATTATTGTGGTGTACCTAACATGGTTACTATAATATTATTATTATCCATCTAGTTAAATTCCCTTCCTTCGTGCTAACTAACTAAGTGCTGATGGATGATGAGGGCCTCGCTGGGCACGGAGATATTGCTTGCTTGGGCAATTGGCATCCGGGTCAGGGGAATTCGGGGATTGGATTTGGGGATTCGGGGAGATCTGCAACGAGCCAAATGATGATGCTGATGAGGAGGATAATTGGCAATCAGTTGAAGGTTACTACCTAGTTAGTTAACTAACCAACTATTCAGTTAGTCAGTTATTGTCAGTCAATCTGTCAGGGAAATAATTACAAAAATACCCTATTTAACTTACGTTATGCTGCTTAACTATAAGTATGGTCGCTTTACTCAGAGTTGTAATACATTGATTACTATACCTAGGAGAAGGGATATTAACATACGTACCACAACTTAGTATACTCCACATCTCCAATATTGCACTGCATACGGAGCCTACATTTCGTATATATTTCTAGTACGGAGTACTTTAGTATCATCATCACAGCATCGTCTACTAAGCGAAGCCCCAAACCCTGAAAAGAACACACAACGCAACACAACGACCGACCACCACAAACGGGCGTGTCAACAAACCATCACTGACAAAACCTGGATAGTAAGTAACCCGCGGGGCGGGTTTGGACAAATGAGCCATGGCCAGCTGTCAAGCTCCATCCCCCGGTGGATGCTCTCCGGTAGGGATATCCTGGACAATGTAATTGTCTGGCCCCGTCGAAAACGGGAGGAAAAAACAAAAAGCCAAAAAAGAATCCTTACACAACGCACAACAAGCCTGACTCTATCCACACCCTACTGTTGTCCCTGCAGACACTTACTTACTTACCCATGGCGTCGAGAATGTTCAAGATGAATCCATCCGTAATTCGTCTGGACTCTTGGGTCGACTCGTCGGGAACTCCGTCCACCGTCGACTACTGAACCATGGTTGGCGTCTCGGGGAAGTTGAGTGAGTCTCCATAGATAGTCCTAACGGCCTGAGCGTTGAGCCATTGCGGTCAGCCACTGTCTCTGTTTGGTCTATCTTTTACTCCTTACTCACTCTTACTATATTTACACAGCCGTCATCCTGGTCTACCATGAGCGTGTAGCCGCTGTCAAGCGCTCACCCCCAATTACTTAGCCATCCACAGCTGTCAAATATCTCGGAACACAATGTTTGACTATAGTCAATTATTTTTCTCGGTTAGATACCAGTTTAATTCCCCTCCCAATTCCTTTCATTCCAACACCATTCTCGCTTATCGCTTGGCTAACTAACTAGCTCTCTCACTGACTTTCCACTAACTCCAATTTAACACAATCCTCATAGTCTAGACACCTGGCCCCGTCGCCACACCCAAATCCCGCGACCACTCAATAACCAGTCGATCCGAAAAACTAGACCTCCTTCCCTTCCCCTTTTGAGGTACAAGTCTCGAAACGAACTTGCCCGTCCCACGACCCAAAGCGAACTACCATCCAATCCGTTCGTTCGATTCCCATGCATGCCGCTCAAAGTGGTCATCCTGTGGATCGCGCCATGAGCTGAGTTCCGCGATCCCTCGACCCGACGACCAGGTCCAGCAAGCGGCGCGGCACTTGGCCCATGCAGAACATTATCGTCATCGTCATCATCATCATCATCTCAGATCCGCCCTCGTCTAACCCAGCTAGCTAGCTTAACTATCGCAGCGCTTCTCCTCTCGCGTCAAAAGGGGGGGGGGGGGGGCGTGCACTCATTGGCGCATTCAAACCCCAGAACAAATCCCCGTGCCCACCCTGCTTGCCTTCAACACCCTCAGATCTGAAGGGACTTCCGCGAAAGTTTACCAATTCAGATATGCTTTGGTAGCTCAGTTTTCCTGGAGTTTATTTCGCAGAGATGGTGTGGCTAGAGACGGTCTTCTCGCCGCGATACCAAACTTCCCTGGAAGGGTCTGATTGCCACCCCCCTCCCCCTTTTACACGATGCGATCGGTATCTAGACTAGGCAGGAGTTCTGAAGAAGGCTAATCGATCGATCGCGCCAGTACTCCGTAACCTCATCGACTAATCGCGACGATGATGATGACTATGCGCGAAGCAAGGAGTGTAACTTTCCGCCAGCAAGCTAGCTTATCATCTCACTTACAGTAGAGCGCATACAGATAGGACTTCGTACTCGACAAATATCCGCACAAGCCCCGACCTATGGTAATCCCCAATGCCTTGTTCATCTTCAGCAGTGATCGCATCTATCGTATCGAAGCGCTGCCCCTAAGCAGTGGGGTACACAGCATACCAGGCTTCCTTCCAACCACGTAGACACAGCGAAGTAAACTACCTAATGATGAAACTTGAAACGTGGAAATCTGCAGACACATCGTCAAGGCGCCAATTAAGCGCCGCCACAATCACTCACCCAAGAAACCTAGTATTACTCTTCAGCAAAGTACGTAGGTAGACCGTCAAGCTGAAAAGCGCATATCCGCCACTCGCCCCCTCCCCCCAATCCATCAATTCAGGCTAAAAAGATACACGCTATCAGCCCTCATATACTCCCCGTTATCTGAGTAGTAAGTAGTACAGTACGTAAGTATATCTGTGGCAATGCAAAACCAAAAGCCCCAGCTAGCCAGCGGCAACCGAAACAGCAACACCAAAACTAAAAGGGTGTTCAGCTCCGCCCGCTTCTTCTTCTCCCTCGGTAAGTAAGTAGATTTAGACCAGGTTAGTCAGGTACCTGAAATTAGTGGTTGACTATTCGTTGTTCTTTGGGTTCTTCGAATTACGTACATACTATGGAATATGGAGGAACTCCTTGGATCCTCTGCTGTTATTCTCACCGCCAGTTTGGGAACCCCTCATTTTCTCCCCCATGGACAACTAAGTAAATAACTAAGTAACTCGCTTATCGCAGGGGGTTGTTAGTCAGTCAGTCAGTCAGTCAATGCTTGCAGCAGTAGGTAGTTAGTTACTACGTAGTAGTTGTCAGTCAGTTAGTACTTGGTTGTTCTAGATTTCGGGGGTGGGTTGGTAGTCACTTGTGCATGCCGTTGATTTTGGTCTGTGGTTTTCGTAGAGAGGAGGGTTAGGAGTTATCGGGCTTTTTGGGGGTGGAATATATATATAAATATTCGAAATGAACGAAATACTAGTTGAAGACAATATAACTTATGTTATTAACTTATATGCTTGAGCAAATAA